TCTTTACTCCTCTCCGATGGCGCATGCTGCTTTGCTAGCTGTTGCTCTTGGTGCTCTGCCAAACCAACTAGAATAAGCATACGTGTCTCAATAGGCTTCGATATTGCACAGGTCCCACACCTGCTCGACAGTTGAAAGCTCCGTCTCGCAGGTGCTTTGAATCGGTCGTCGAATTTGCCCGGTCCATGTGCGAGCTCATGGAAGGCGCTATAGAATCGATGCAGCAAAAGAACAGCGCCGCCGCCGCCGTCATGCCACCTTTCACAGTGCCACAGAGAGACAAGAATCGGCACAAATGGGTCGTCTCCAACCAAAACGCATCTTATTCCACAATGGACTTCCTTCAACCTCAGGCGAGAGCACTGTCATGCGGTCTCTTCTTGCTGGATCCTGGCAGGCCATCGTATCAAACTGCCAGAGACGGATCTGCCATTCTCAGCAACAGCGTGCGTGCATGTGCTCCGCCTTTCGCACTTTGCAGAAGAGCTTCTATGCCCTCTTCCTGGCACGTTCTGGATGACCGGTCAAGGACTGCTGTCGTGTACCCTCACGGTGTGCCCTAACTACATAGGACAGTGTGTATAATATATATATATATATAATAGCCTACATTTTATACAGCAGAAACTAGGGTACAACCCTCAAGTACGCTCTCAGGCGTGCATGATAACTGTGTATGGCTTGCAGCTGGGAGCCCTAAGGATGAATTATGGACAAGGACATGGGACATCGGGTGTCCCCTGCAGCCCCTGCATAATGTCCCAAACTAGCAATGGTCTACAGTACAAATAAAGCTCGTCACCTGCATAAAATTTCGCGGACCCTCCAAGAAGCTTCCTTTTGGCTTCCCGGCTTTCAGCAGCTTGAGGTTCTCCGCAAGGACCGCCGCAACAGAAGCAGACGCCGCCTGCGCATCAAACATGTGCAGGTCGGTTTGGGTGTGTTTGCTGGGTACTGTACCTTTTGGGCTGGTTTAAAAGAAACGTCAAAGGACACCAATCATTTTGAGGGTACACCGTCCACCCCCTATTGTGACAAATTCCCGCTTGGCCGCGCCTGCTTTCCGAAAGCCCCTTCCAGGAGCTTTTGTGCATCCTGGCCGCAAGCCGGGTGTGTCGTCTTATATCTAAGGGTTTTAAAGGGAAACCATGATGAAACCATTCCCTTGTTGGGGGGGTTCCAAATCCCACTTTGACGATCCCAGCGGCTCCTCTGCAAGGCCGCCCTTCCAGGCAGCTTCAGCATGACCTGCTGCTGTTCGACAAGCACTCGGCAGCATGTGTGCCGCATAAAATGGGTCCGCAATTGTGACAACCCTTGTGAGCATGTCTCCTTTTGCGGGTGCCCTTTTTTCAGGTGGTTAACCAGAGGGGATTGTTGGGCGTACTCTACCCCTTCTCTCGCCGGTTTTCAACCCTTTGGGCGGAACATGCCAGAACGAACGACCCACTTGGGGCTGACAAACATCGGCCCAGGTCTGTTATTGGAGGCCTCGGGTCGTTTAGGGAAACAGGAAAGCCGCCAAATTTTCAAATGGTGAGACTTCCCCGAGAGAAGCCGTCGGGTTCCAGGCGCCTCGTACCTCGACTGCCCGGTCGTCTCGGTTCAGCTTGGCGGCCGCAGGCAAGGGCCCGGCTGCCTCACCTCGATGGGTCGGTGTGTCGGTGTGTGTCGTGTTACCGTTCTCTTTGGCTTGGCATGGAAACCAAAAGGGGTGTCTCTTGTTAGGGATACCCCATCTGGGGTTGGTTTGAAGGGAAAGCAAGAGAAAACAGATTTGGGGATCCCAGTGCAACAGCACCCCTTTCAGGGAACCATCGAAATTGATAAGCTTCCCCATTGAATTCCCTTCAAGCCAACCTCAAAAAGAGTACCCTTCAAAAGCAACCACAGCATGCTGTATCTAGCTGAGATCTGAGGCAACAGCCCTGCAGTGCTCGTATCCAGCATGCCACAGGCACCAGAATCGCTACAAGCTCATCCCTGCCAGGTGACATGTCTACAGCCATTCGGCCCAACCCTGCGCTTTGAACACGCATGAGCTACAGTCAATATTCATTTTTTGGTAAGAGTAGCCAATCATCCCCCAAAACAACAGATGGCAGTATATATTGACTGTTGCTTATGTTGAAACCAACCAACCTCCTTTTGGTGTCCCTTGAAAGGGGGTCAAGGGCTCATGCGCTTAACATGGAACATGAGCATGCCCGTCCTGGGAAGAGCCTTGCCACACATAGCATCCTTCAGGTTCGGAGTGCTCAAGCAAATGATGTCAATGAGAAGCATCCCTAGACTCATAATCAAACCTGGTCCTAAAAACGTCTACCCCAAAGCCCATGTAAAGCATCAAATGGGGCGGTACTCATTTTAAGTTGGGACAGGGACTGTCCCCTCTTCTTCATCTGCCAGGGTCTTGATTGTGTCTCACTATGACTCGAATGTCCCGTGTTCCATTGCCGCCTCATGCAAGCACGGTGACAAAGCGACTGCCTCAGTCCAAGCGCTTGGCTTGCAGCTGGAGAATCCGTGGGGCTCCGGCCATTCGGTTGGTGGCATCTTCGTTCAGCCGGTAGATGGTGTCACGGATCGCCGGATTCGAAAATCTCTCGATGACAGTTCTGCTCCACTCATCCTGGCAAGGAACAGTCTGTATGTTGCAGGCATCTTGGAAGGGAAAGCGCAAAAGGCAAAGAAACCGGGACGGAGGTGAATGGCAAAGAAAAACCAGCGGAAAGGCCGGACAAGGGGGAAGGCCAGGCAAACGCAAAAGAAAGAGCAAAAAGGAAAGGCAAGACAAGCGAAAAGACAGAGCAAGTGGAAAACAGCCACAAAGCAAGAGAGGAAGAGCAAGCGCAAACGGAAGAGTGCGGAAAAGGCTAGAGCAAGGGCAAGGAAGAGCAAGCAGAGAGGAAGCACAAGCGGAAATGGAACAGCAGAGAATGGGCAGGAGGGAGCATCAAGGGGCGAGGAAAACCATGAAGAAAAGAGTTGAAGAGGCAAGAACAACAATATGCGATGTGTCCCGAGGAAAGCACGGGAGGCATCAATGTCCTTGTCCAGTCCCTCAACTGGGCGCACGGTCTGAGCGGCCGCTGCCATGTACGCCTGTCACGACTGTCAAAGCTCGTGTCACATCCTAGCTTCACCTGATGTTCCAATGCACAAAATGGCAAGTCCGCCCACGTTCGGCATAACTGCAGCCCAGATGCCGAGATAAAGCTGGCAACTCTGTCGTCAGCCATGGCTTCGTGCACCACTGCATGCCCCAAAAGGGCAGCAGGATATGCCAATGCCTTCCCGAGCTGAAAGAACCCGTCTCAAGCTCAGCGCATGTGGGTCCCATGCGCACCTGGTGCACAGCGTTCAGAAGTCTGAGCTTTAGAAGCTCCTCGGTTCTCCAGGAAGCATTCGGTCATAATTATTCGGTCCATGCCCACTATTTGTCTGTGGTGCAACTTTCATTGGCAAACTAAACAACGATTTGTCTGCGGTGCAACAAACATCGCAAAAATTGGCTCTCATTTGCAACCTCACGGTCATCAACTGCTCCGCGGCATTTGCAACGGCTTGCCCTGTTGCCAAGGTACATAAGGTAGGACATCTTCCACAAAGATGCACTTGCCGCTCGGGCACCTTGGCCACGCTTGGTCTCTTGCGCTGCCATGTGCAATATGAGCTACCAGGTGCCTGGCTTGTCCCAGGATGGCCGGCCCAAGGGAAACTTGTCCTGGCCACCATCAGATGTGTGCCAACAACAGGGTCAAGCCTCGTTTCAGATGTTTGTTTGCCTGTTTGTTTGCTTGCCTGCCTGCCTGCCTGCCTGCCCATCACCTCTTGCGGCCCAAAGGTTTTACTCTAGCGTAACCATGCACCAGCTTCTCAGCTGAATGGCCAGCTTTCACAAGGCATCGACTCCCAAGGCCTCCACGACCCAAAGCAAGAAAGACTCGCCTCAGCGTACGAGTGTTTCTCAAGATGGCAGGGGATTCCTTTCAGTTTCCCAATACCAACCAGAAGGGAGTCCATTTTGAGAAGCAGCTTGCCTAGCACTAGCCGACACACAACTCAGGCAGGCGTCTTGCGGACAAAGCAACTAACCACCGGCCAGCCATCTTCCACGCCATGCTTCTCCTTCAGCTCAGTCTTCAACTCCTTCGCAGGTTCAAGATTTAGCCTGGGACGCAAGCATCGATGCAACTCCTCTGTGGTAGCTGGGGTAATCCGATCCACCATCGAGTTCGGAAACCTCAGATGGGCATTAGGAATGTGGCGGACAACCATTGGAGAACCATGCCCATTTGCCCACCATTTTGAGGTTCCCTAAAGTCACAGCCAGTGCCACGTAGCTTCGGGCGCCAAATTGAAAGATCCAAGGAGCGTCACATGGTCGGAGATCCAAGTCACAAGGGCAGCATCCACTTGTCCTACGCGGTAGCCCAACTCTCTGACGGAACAACAAGCATTTTCCTGCAATGAACCAGCCCCTCCAGTCTTGCTTGGGCCAAATTGCGCTCTCTGCAATATGCAACACCGTATCCTGCCATTGCGAGCACAGCCGTGCGGGCTTTCGAGCCGTTCTCCTATCATCTGTGCCAAGGACGGGTAGTCAGACCGGTTCGGCACAAGAAACAAGCAAACTGGCCCCGCCTGAAGATTGTCGCAGCTCAGCACAGCAAAGCCAGATCCACCGCCAGCTTTTCTCTTCTTAGCCTTAATTTGAGTTTGGCCCCAGCCTGCTTGCTTATGCTGCATGAGTTGCCACGGCTTTCTTCGTTCAACCCGAAAGAGAGGCTTGCAAGACACTCGCGTTCTGGATGTGTGTCAGGTTGCAGTATGTTTCCGATGCCAAACTGCCCTATGTAATGCTCAGATTTCCGCATCGAACACATGGCTCGCATGGCCATGGGTCAAAAGCCCGTACCCCCAGTGAACATCGCAATCCCCACTTAAATAGACTAAAATGGATGGTGCACCCACCCCAACATGGTACCATTGGTTTTGACCCACAGCCACATGAATGAATGCATGCTTGGAATATTGAGACCGCAGCTGCAGCAACTATGTATCCTCTGGCGTACATAGAATTGCCAACAGCAGCGCGTCAACAAGCGTCGCGCATACAACTGCTGAGATGCCCAACAATGAAGCACGCTCGCCTGGCGTCGTCTTCAAGGAGGAAGACCCCGTCTTCAGAGCATCAATATCGCCTAAGCCCATCCGTCGGTTGCCGTGCCGCTTTGTGTTACCAAAGATCGGCCGAGGATCTCAAAACCGCAGCCGCTTTAGTATCCAACTCGCCAGTTGCGAAGTCCACAAAGTACCTCGTTTGATGATCCGTCGCAAAAGATTCTACACGCAGGGGTCAACCATGCTACTCCCTTCTGCTCGCATTGCGATGAATTGAATGTCGCTCCGCAACGGCAGTATCTCAGAATGATGTTGTCCACGTGTTGCGCTCCAACTCTTGCCAAGCTTCCCCTTTTCCGTGACTGTCAGCGTCACCTAGCTCAAGCGCGCATTGATCATGCATCAGAAGAACGCACACCTACTGTCCAGTGTCTTGAAGGTTCAGCTGTGGCACAATCTTCGTTTCATCAGCTGCCAAGACGTTCAGAACTTGTTCTGGATTCTCCGGAGCAAGAATGAAGTCTGAATGGCAACCTGATGTCTGCATCTGGAACCCCACCACGCAAACCACAGGCTGTCGCGTCATCCAGGCCAAGAATATCTGACTCGAAGACAAGGAGCCAATTACACGAAGCTGATCTGAAGAAGCGCCTGTAGTGGCCAATTCTCTGATCACTGAAACCAAACACAAGGCAGGGCTACCGTATATGAGCCAAATATGAGCCAAACCTGCCTTTCTGCCATAAGGTGTACAGCATGTCTTGCTCCTCATGGGGGGGGGGAACAAATATGTCCGCAAGGCGTGGGGCAAATGTTTGCACACGAATGCTTCGGCACACGCGCCGTGTCACTGTTCCTAGCGCTCAGTCCTTGAGGACATCTCTCATCTTCGCATCCCCAGGCATTAGACCAACACCTTGATAGCCCCAAGACTCATGTCCTGCAGGTGTCATCCAAATCCAAGTCAAACAGCTGCAATGACTTTGCCCGTCCTGGCAACGACAAGGCATCGTCTACAAAGACGCACTGATGAGCCCGGTGAAAGTTGCCAACGCCAATATGTACCTCAAAAAGTGCAAGCCTCTGCCAATGACAATGCCAAAGAGATGGCTTGGCAACGGGCGACACAGCAAGGCCCTAGGAGAACGTGCCTTTTTCTGAGGGGGGGCCTTTTGAGGTTGGTTTCAAGGGAAATCAAAGGACAAACTCATAAATTGTAAATTTACGGCATCTGAGGAGCAATTCCAGGCTTCACCTTCTGGCGGTCATACTTTGGACCTGCCACTTTTCCAGAGCCAATCCTCAGCTTGCGGACACCTTGAGGCATCCAGGTCGAAAAACGACTCAATCCAAGGCTCTTGTCCAAGTTGCTGTTGCACAGCTTCATGTCCTTGCCCAGTTTAGAAAAACAAAAAAGAACTCGTTGGCATGAACCTGCAGTCTGCACTCATCCAGTCCTAGGCACTGTGATGCCGTACTGCCAATTCCATCTACCGGCTTGAACCAAATATGCGGCATGTGTATCTGCCCACGGGATTGGCTCATGGGGAACCCGCAAAACCGTTGCTTCCCTTTGGTTTCCCTTTGACCAACCCCAACACAAACCCAAATGCAGACATCAAGGTGGGAGCAACCCACTGTTTAAGCAGCTTCAATTCAAATAGATCCGTGAAGCGCTGGACCTAGGAGTGCAGACTCCAATCTGGTGTAGATGTACCTCGCGCTCGCGTGGTCCTGCACGCTGGGCGACCCCTGGATGGGACGGATTTGGAGGGAAGCCAAACAGGAAACCAACAATTTTGTGGGTCACCTGATTTCTAGACAAGCGCATCAATGGATTCGTCCCCAGCTGCGCGCCTTGCCGCCTTGCAGTCTGGTTCCAAACTGCCCCGACGGCACAAACAAGTTGATGTTGTTGGAGCCAACCTTAGGGAGGCCAGTAAGTTATTAACGAGCACAAACTGCAGACCTGTGGATGGACAAAACCCAGTTGGGATGGACACCCTGAGACCCTGCGACTGGGATGAATCACCCAATGGTGCAAAACTGCTTTTGTCCATCCACAGAGACTTCGGCCAAGTCTCGAAGTTTTGCGCCATTCCCACAACGGTGCCCTGCCTGAGATGCATGGGCCACTGTGGGAGTTGCAGAAAGCAAGAGATGCGAGCGAGTCAAGAAGTGTGCAGCCTCTAAACGAATCCTGCACACTGTATCTGTTCACACGTAAAGTGAACAGCGACCATTCCGTGCGGGTTCGACGCTAAGGGTTGCACAAAGACGCTTCACCTTGGGTGCAAAAAACGGGCAGCATGGCAAACGGACTGCGCACATCTGCCCGTGCCGAGGAGCCGTGATGATAAGCGCTGTGCTCTGCAATGTATCCAGCCTGAGAGTCTAGCAGGCTGCAGCAGTTCCCATGGAACTCACCTCCTGAGGACTGGGCAAATTGAGCAACTTTGACATCAGACCTGCAAGAGATGCTGTAAAGCTCGGACGATATATCCCCTCCCGCCTGAGGTTTCGCTTGAATGCTGCATACAGGATCTTTCGTTGTCCCGGCTTCATGCCGTCGACAAACTTGGCTGTACCAGTTGCAGTTCTGTGCCATCAATAGCTCCAACACTTCTGATGCATCGAGCGGCACAAGGAATAGATCGCATCACGTCGTATCTTGAAAAGGACACCAATTCCTGCCAGCATCACAGCGAGGGCAACCGATTAAAGCACATCAGCAGTTCCAACACGGCACAGTTCCATGCTTCATTCATGTGACTGGCTCATACCGCGATCAAGACTTGGCCTTGTTCACAAAGTCAGAGTAGCTGACAAAGTCTTTGGAGTGGTCAACAGCCTGGGCTGTGATATCCGCACAGTTGTTCGTGCCGCATCGCCCAAATTGGGGGATGCCTCAGTGGCCAAAAGTATCCCCTAAGGCATGCGCGTCACCATCTTTGTAGCAGTTGATCCATTCCTGCCCATGCCATCTGTGCGGTCATGCCGCGAGCAGAAACGCGTCGCCTTTCTGTCATCAGCTCTCTTCTTGTTGAAGGCCAAATCCACTAGCTCATCATCTTTTGGACTGGACCATCTGAACACCATCCTGGTTTCACAGAGATGCACCAATCTGTTGGCTTTCTGAAGTGCCTGTGCTCTTTGATATTTTTGAAGTAGTCTTTGCCTTCCTTCGCAGTGGAGGTGCCCAAACCTCAGCTTGCACGAAACAAACGCCCGTGGAGCAACTCTACCCGTGTATTCGTTCCTCACGTTCTTGTGGCCCTGAGGCACTTTGTGTCACGTTTAGTTGAAATACCTTGGCTGATAATGCCGTGAACCTCCAGCACATATGCAAGTTCGATACGGGCATGTGCATGTCAATAACGTGTGTGGCGGGGGGTACCATTCAACTTGCACATGGGTGTGGGCTAGGCTGGCGCGCAGGCTGTGCGGCATGTGAAACATCTTTCTGTGTCTGCGCACTGGGGGCATGTCTGCGGGTGCCCCCGTGCGGTGCGCAGCTGTGTCTTACATGGTTGTGTTGTCAGTGGCGCGTGGTGCGCGTGAGTTGACCCATGACAGCGCATCCGCGTACCTGACACATGCATGGACGTATGTGAGTTGCGACCATACCCGAATTCGAAGGAGTTTACCCAGAAGCATAATCTAAGGAACAAAGGCGTCCAAAACCGCTTTGTGGGTTGGCACCCCATCTAGCCCCCAAGTATCCAGGCTTTAGCTTTAGCTGATGTGCATGTTTGTGTGCGGTGCGCATACTTGCCATCATGCTTGCACGAGTTGGTGTCTGTGTTTGTGCCTGTATTTCCAGATGAGTCTGACCCTCTGGCCAGCCTTTGTAGTACTTCGTAGTCCAGCCCCTGCCACCATTGTTTCTCTCCTTGGGCGCAGAAAGCGCAAGTTTGACTTCTTCGTTGGCCATCCGAGGGGAAGACTCTCCAAGCTTCGTAGTCAGCAACGCTGAAGAACTGGACTTCGCGCTGGCCTCAACATGATTGCATGAGTCACAGCGTGTCTCCCAATCACATTGTATGTTGGAACCCGCATTTCCTAATGGTAGCTTGGTAGATGACAGCACATTTTGACCGTTGCTTACGAGCATACCTTGGTGTTCAAAGCCAACTGAGTCGCAATCCCTTGGACACTTTGACGATAGGCGTGATGAATTCCTTCCTTGGATACTCCCCCTGCCGGAATCACCAAGGAACATAGATTCTGAGTCGGTCACAGGAAGCCGTCCTTGGTACTGGTGCATTGATACAATAGCCCAGATGGCCGAGGCTGTGGCTCAAAGATAGGCACCCCCAACCACCAGTTGTACAGAAAAAGCATCAAAACATGGGTCTTTAATTTTGAGTCACACCCATGGAACGCTTAAGGCATAGTCCAACTTGAAGAGCGAGGGCCACCAATGCTGGAATATGTTGATCAAGAGGCCCTGCACGGCTTTCCCAAGACAGCCCTCGTTTCAAAGGGTACACTCCTGCAGATCAACGGAAGGTACTGAAGCAGTTGTCTGTTTCTCCAGAAATCTCCTGTGGGGAAAGCCCTGCTTGGGTTCCTTCCGTTCATTTGCAGGGGTGTGCGCAATGCTTAGCACAACCTGCAAGGCTACAGAGTCCGTCCTTGATGTGGGAGCCATCGAAATCCTTCGCAGGGAAGCTGTAACATGAAACTTCCCCTCACTTTGCAGGTGCTCGTCCTGATCAGCCATGATCATCACGCTTCCATAGCGCAGCGACTTGACGGAGTCGTACACCTTCTGCTGCTCCAGACCTCATTTGAAGCTGTGCAAAGCCGAAACCGATGTGAATCTTCGCCGTGCTTGCGGGCCCGCAATCTGTGGCCCGCTCCAAGGATCTGAATGATGTTCTGAATTTCAGCATTGCCCACGGTCTGCTGGAAGGAGGCCTTTCTTAAAGTTCATAAGCATGCTCCTTTTATATGAAAAGAGCAATCAGGTCAGATCGGCGTCGCGCACGTTGAGCGGCTTTCCTGTCAGGACTTCTCTCTTTCTCTCTTTATTTGAATTTGCTTTCTTGCTTTCTCTCTCTCTCTCTCTCTCTCCCTGAATATCTCTTCAGCTTCAAGCTCGTGCAGGAACTCAGCCCAGCCTCTCAAAGGGAACACCCCAAAGCGATCTCGCCCAACGATGCTGAGCCCAGCAACAGCCAGCGCCTGGCGTTGAAGGCAGTCACCAGTTTTCGACAGCACGTGAACAGCTACAGCTAAAACCTACACAGATGTTGGGCCCAACGCGCGTGAACAGCTAAAACCTATTGCACTGTTGCTAGCCCTGACAAAAATACGTTCAAAAAAGGGCCGTTCCGTCGGGGTTGGCGCTCGCAAGCGCTGGACAACCGTTCCTTGGCACTGTCACCTTCTGTGAGGATCAAGGTGCACTCCTGGCCGGTACTTTGCAACCTGCTGTCACGGTGAGCACTGCTCCTCCGAGTGCCGGGTGCCGGCGAGGTTGGCATCTTCCAGCTTCGGTATCTTGGTCCACAAGGTATGCCAAGCCCTGAGTCCCAGGCACCTCAAGTCCTGCTGGAAGCGTTTCTCAAATTATGTGGACATGGGCCGACATGGGGGAGAGCGGGTTTGGTTCGGCTTGGTGTGGTCTTGAAGTAGGTAGGTTTAGGATTGATGGTGGCTTGGCTTATTTGCTTCAGGGCTGGTAAGCGTGTCTATGGCTCGGATATGGCTGCTTTGAGTTGATTCTAGCCTGGACTTAGTCAGGTTTAGGGCGGTCTTAGAGCTGTTTCAGCGGCGTGATTTAGGATGGGGCTAGGTGTTGATTTGAGTTTGGTGTGGCTTGAAGCTGCTGTAGGTTAGGGTGGGAGTAACAGTGCGGTTGGATTGCGTGGGACTGCAAAGGAGTTGATGTCAAGGGTTGTTTTGCGTCTTGCAGCAGCGCTGAAGCATGAAAGCGTGCAGAGTTCAAGGCGGATCAGACTGGGTGATACGTGGCTGAAAAACACTGGGCTGGCTGGAGGCGGGCAGGCTGCAAGTCGATTGGAGTGCAATCCGCATCTCTACCAGCCAGCTCACACCCGCAACATAAAGTTCGCATTGTCTGTGTGTCCTCGCAAAAGTAACACAGTAACATAGACTACCATGTTTCTGTCAGTTGCAACGCGCGCACACACACACACAGGGTTTGGCTCAGCTTGTATTTGTGGTGGCTCAGGGTCGCTTTGCGATGGACCCAGGGTTGGATTATATTTTAGCTAGGAACATCCAAGTGGGTTCGAGGACTGAAGTAGGTGGAATGAGCAGGCGGCGCTCAAGCTTGCTGCCTTAACTAGGAATAACACAACCTTACCTCACAACCTTACCTGAGTCAAAATCAAAAGCAAATACCTGAAAGAAAGTAATTGCCCATATCAACGTAGAGAATCAAAGAGGCATCTTGCAACACCTTGGTATGTTGAGGACTGTCCCCAACTAGCCTACCTCTACCCGGCTCGGTTGGGACGCTCTTTGATTCTTGCGCGACTGAGGCGGAAGCGCCAAGAAGGCGATTTGCTCGTCCTGTGCCCTGGCAACCAGCCAAGAGGCGAAGGGTAGAGGGTATGGACGGAAGGTTAGCCAAGTTAGAAACCCCACTTCAACCCCTTGACGTCCCTGAAAACCTATGAACAATTCCCGTGCCTTCATCTTCCTCTTCATATCGATGCTTTCTCTGGCTTTGGCCCACTGCCTCAGTAGCAACATCATTGGGCCCTTGCAAAGTGTCTGCATGGCTGGGCGTCCCACAAGACGGTATCAACGATGCCCATGTTCATGAGCCTGGATATTTTGCTCACTGCGTTCAGTTGCAAGAGAAACACCGTCTCAACGACCACCCGAAATGACTCAAACTCTCAGTTGCTCTCTATATTTGCCATGCTCTCAGTTGCTGCCAATCGAAACGACTCAAACACAGTACCTTTGCCTTCACGATTGCAGCCAAGCAACTGTTTGATGGCTCTGTCTGTCACTTCACACTTTGAGCCTGGCAGCAGGCACTGTAGAACTTTGAGTAGGTGTCAAAATAGGGGGACGCCGAAAATGGGTGGTTTGCATTTGGTGTCCCTTTAAACCCACCCCCAAAAGGGGCGACCTGAAAAGGCCCATCCCAATGGAAGTGTTGAACTCCCTACTGGCAATCTGTCAATGTAGGCACTCCCTGCACAAAGCAGGCGTACCAAACTTGCCCTGCTTCAGGGTCATGGTCTCCTGCACAGTACGCCATTTGACATAGGCATCTCATTTTGCTCAGCTTGTTCAATCAGGCCTTTGTCTGGGAATCGAATGTGGGGTTCACAATGAGGCAATTCACGAAGACCCACAAATGTGAACCTTGCAAGGTGTCCAACAAGCAAGATGTGACGGACAGTCCGCAATCTGCAACATTCCATCTGAAATGACGTTGCGGCACATATCACACATGACATGCTAAACTGGCCATGTCGAGTTCCTTTGCCTGCGTAGATTCACGCATCAAACGCTGCATCTGGTCAAGACCCAGACGGACATGGAAGGGCTTCACTTCCTCACCGGAAAACGGGAAAGGGTTCAGGCAAACGTCCCTCAACACCCAACCAAAAGTCTTATCGACAATCTTGCTTGCGAGCCACCATTCCCCCTCGGTTCTTCTTGTTGACTTTATCAAGGATCGCTTCCTGCGAATGCATCCAGGCTTCCCCTTAAGCAGATCTTCCAATGGGCTTCGCGCCACAAACTGCTCGCTGACGTGGGAGACGTGCGTTCCACCTGGCACTGCCAGTACAAGCGAAAGCGTGCGCAAGGCATGGGCCTTTGATGGTGTTGATGGAATTCACAAAGGACACCTGCGCATGGCAACATATGGCAACCATGGCACAGGGAAAGCATGGCAAAACAAGAAACGGTAAAAACAACTCCCAGAATCTGATCGCGTGGTTCTGGCCATCACCCCCATTGTCTGTGGCCGCCAAAATGGCCGAGCAAAACGGTGTCGCCTGCTGGAACTGCCCTTCAGACGTTGTGATGACATATTCCCAGCCTCAGCTTGCAGAGGTGTGGTCAAAATATCCCGTACGAGGAGGGCGGTGTACAATCAAACCAAAAGCAAACCATGTTTGGGGAATTCACTCTTTTTTGACACAGGGGTGGCAACTTGCATCACAAATCCATGCTGCGAATGCATCTGGAAGTATGGAAGCAAACGCAAGATCACGGCGGTCGCCAAATTTGTCGTACACCTTTGGCTGCTCCTTGCAAGGCAAGCGCTGTTGGGCCCACGAGACTGCTCGCCCTTGTTTTTGGGTCACCGCCATGGTACTCCGTCCTTGTCAAAGTAGAGGTCAACATAGTCCTGGATGAGCAAACTGTAGATGAGCAGGTGATTTGCACAAAGCGCCGACCTTGAACTCCTTCGCCCCGACTGGGCTGTCATTCAGAAACACGCGGCACCTTGAAGGCTGGAGAATACAGCAGTGCCTTTGAAGTGCGCTTGCTGTTTGCAAAGTTCAAAGTTCTCAGCACCGGCAATCAGCGAGGATCCGGCTTCTTGCTTGTCGAGCCACCGGCGTCCTTCAAAGGAGGCTGAAAGGCATCGCATGGTGCCTTGTGACAATCCAACTCAATCCTTACCGGAGGAACAAGAGAGACATGAGGTCAAAGACGTGCAGGACCGCAAGAACAAAGCAGAGGTGGGCGAGAGAATGCGCGTGGAGAACATAGTATGAAAACATAACTGCAACTGCAGTCCATGACGCGCTTCTTCATCAGAGACAGGATGTCCTTTTGGCGTTTCACTTGCACGGTTCGCAGCAGAGAAAGACTCGCCTGGTCCAGCTTTATCATGCCAAAGCGCTTCAGGTCTGGGTAGAAGGTGACTTTGGTGAAATCCTTCTTGTAGCATGCGTCCAGTGGTCAACGAAAGAAGCCCTCAGACCTTACCCGAGTACTTCGTGATCTTCGCTTTGCCCTTTACCTCCGCCGAGACGCCCATGGCAAAGCGCGGTACAAGAAACTCGCACGACGGGAGTTACCACAAAAGCTTTTCACTCAGCTCTGCACTCCCATATTGTTCTCCCAGCTCTGACAGTACTTGTGCCCACGCTTGCCATCTGCGCATTCAATCACCTGCAGAAGCCACGTCATGGCAAGCAAGCTGACCCTTCCATACCAGTTCATTCAGGGCACAAATTTGGTGGAGAAGATGTTTGTCAGCTTGGCTCCGTAGCCATTTCGGCCGCCAGTAACCTTGCAGGCAGTAGCTCACACAATTGTGCCAGCTGGCCGCATGCACACCTTGTTCTCATCGTCGTCGTAGTTGTCACTTGTCAGTAGATGCCCAAACACCTTGGGGAGCACGGATCTAGCATGAAAGAGAGCGCTGAGTCTCGCATTCGTTCAGCGGACCGTGGCAGCATTCTACCACTTTGCCACAACCTGGTCACAGCTGAGCCGGGTGCCATTTCAGGAACATACATCTTGTGTTCCTGAAATGCAGTCCATTGTCGGACATGAGCTCTGTTAAAGCCCCACTACCACAGAAAATACATTAAAAAAGCACAGGGGCGGGAAAAGACTGCCCCGCGTAACATTTGGGTTGGGACCGTCCCGAACAAGGAGTAGTTCTAACAGACCTCACATGAGTCACAATCAAACCTAGTATTTAAGGTCCCAAATCTGCGTAAGGAAATTTAAAGGCGACCTAGTTCAGGTTGGGACTACCCCTTACTAACCTTCATCTAAGCCAGTCTTGATTGCAGCTCAAATGGAAGAATCGGTGTCTTTGCGGGTTTTGCGGAGAAATTTGTTGGGACCCGCTGTGTCCCTACCAAATGTCGCATCGAAGCAGGAAATTTCGACTGAACTTTACAGTTCTCATGAACGGTGTCCTTGTGAATCTCCACTGGCAGTGTGGCGCCGTTGTTCTCCACGGAGATCCAACCTTCTTGCTCGTTGATGTTGACCTGACAGGGATCCTTACTTAGTGAAAGTAAACACAGCCTCCCAAATTGGGTTTTGTCCTGCTTTCGGTCATACGGGGAATAGTGCCATCTATGTTCACTCTAGTGTTGTTTGGACAGGCTCGATCACTGATGTTGAAGCCAGCCCCCGAACAGGGAAGCAAAAGGACCCCCGTCTGAGGCCAGGGAAATATTTACAGATTCGCGCCTTGATGTATGTCATATGATCTGGATCACGCTGGAAGTTGTCACACGCGTTCACTAGGAGCTCATCGAAAATCTTGTAGAGGCCGGGCACAAAGTTGACCTCGGTGCCAATACAGGAACAAGTGCAAACACAGCACCAGTCGTCTCTTCATGTGGACCAGCTCTCGCAACTAAGGTCACAGGCTTCCTTCTGAACAATCTTCTGTTTCTCCTCATCCCAAACCCACAGCCTGGCAGCAGTGGAATACAGTAGCCCTGTTGTTAGAAAAGCGCCTTTCTCGCTGCGTCTCAATGGAGCCGACATAGGTGTCTGGTCCTAGGACACAGGGCATGCAGATTTCAGGTTGCAGCAAAGCATCCAGCTGAGCAGGATGTGCTCGAGCTGACTCTTCTTCCTTGGCCCCGCAATGCTTCCCGCTGGCTGGGCATCAAATTCATTCAAAAGGCTGATAGATCTGCTCGATGCTCTTGCCTTTGCGGAGATTCGCACCTCGCAATTGCACAAGCGGCACATCTGTGGAGCCATGGCAGGAATAGGGATCATCCTCACAGCATTAAGGCATTAAGGACCATTTAGGCCTTCTCCTGCCATTTAGACGCCTGGAGAAATCATATATGCAAAGTTGTCAAGCCCGCAGCTCATTCTCCGATCTTCGGCCAAACCTGGATTCGTGAGCTCAGAATCTCTTCACTTGGACGCCTGGGGTCCAAACGCGCAACTCACGGAAGGTGTGGCGCTCATGCGATGGTTTTTGGCCAGGAGCGAGTTTCGAAGCTGCTTCAGGCAGATTCTAATTTGTTCTTTGGGCGTGTGTGTGTGTGTGTGTGTGTGTGTGTCTGTGTTCTGGTCAGCATGATGCCGTTTCAAACACATAGCTATCCCGTGCCTGTCACATGAAAGGATGTCGGATGTGTGACAGTCACATCACCAGTCTCTGGCCGATTTGCCTGAGTCTCATGATGCGCTTTCCTCATGTTCGGTTGTTTTCAGCTTGAGCCCGGCGGGGTTCGGTGTATCATGCTCCTCTATGAAGTTCAATGAAGGACATCATTTGCACTCACCAGCCCCAACAACCACTGTTGAGCGGATTCCAACCATTGCAACTCATTGCCACTTGGACACCACCCGTCTGGCCGCGGTGCGCGAAGATCAGGCAGGCGCACTCGGAGACGTAGAGCGCGCCTTCCAGGATGCCCAGCAGACCTTACGAGGAGCTGTGGCTCAAAACGGGAAGCCCCTCTGTTGGTCGCATTTAATAAAACCAACGTGAGACCTTGGATTGGGACACATTTTCCGTACGACCCAAACTTCAAGCAGTTGGATTGGGTCCGCATTCTGCATGACCTAAGCGGCATTCATAAGGTGCTAGCTACGTTCCTCCGCCGTGAGGCGCAAGGGAATGAATCTCACCTCACAAGCCCATGCGGCCATGAGTCACACAGAGCCAAGGGGAACCATAGGACAAAGTATAACATAATATAACTGTGTGTGTAGTTCTACATATATATATATATATATATATATATGGGTGCCCATGTATATATAATATAAACCTGAATGATCCTTGGCCCCCACTCAATGATTGTCACTAGGTTGCTGTGGCTCCCCTCACGAGTGAGACGAAGCCCCGCGCCTGGTGCTGCACGGCCCTCTCTTCGCCAAGTGGTTCAGCCTCCTGTGAGGAATTCTTGATAAGATATGCCATAATATTCATCAGCCTCCTATATAATTGCACATTATATCATATTCATGACGGAATTATTGATGTAATGATCTTCTCTCTTGGCATCTCCTTCTCCTGAACAAGTCTTTAGTTCGGAGCTGTCCTAAAGAGAATTGCCAACATTAAAATCCAGAGATGTATTCCTTTCCTCTTTCCTTCGCCCACCTTTCCATCTAATAATTCTGAGAAATGGACAGGTTTAAAATGAAAGGGAGAAGGTAACCAGGGGACATGCAAACAAAAGATGCCTAATAGAAGCATGTCCATGTCATTCTTTTAATATGTCTTTCTTATCTAATCTTGTCTATATGTTTTGTTTACTTGTCTATTCTCTTTTTCTCAATAATAATCCTTATAAATATTTACATCTCTTACATTATGTTCAATCTCTTGGAAGCAACTTGAGGAATGGGCAGGTTGCAGGTGGGGGTTAAAGCTCCGAATCCGTGGACCCCGGTCATATTTGCTTCCTAATCCTCATCCTCATGGGTGCCTCAGTTCCCTTGAGGGGCCCTTGGTTGTATCAACCCCAAGGCAAAAGATGCTTTGATCACGAACACGTTGAGTGTCACTCGCATCCTGCCTCCTTCGGACTCTTGCTAGCTTGCATCGGAGCGTCGGTATCCGCCGACTCTTTCCACACTTTCTCCTAAGGCCCAAAATGTCAGACTGCGGAATGAAACTGGCCCTGGCCTGATTCTGAACCCAGTCTTGATGTGCTCGGTCTTCCTTGCACGCCCCCTTTCTGACAAGCATGAGATACCCACGAGGAGCTTGGCACACCATCATCTTAACAAAAAGAAGAACAACTGTCACCTCCGTGATTGCTGGAAAAAGGGTAAGGGTGTGTCAAAACTTGAAACCAAACTAAAGAGGGAGTTGTTCAAAAATGGTGGACGTTGATTGATTCTTCAAGGGAAACCAATCATTTTCGGCAACCTGCTGTGCCATCCTCGAGGACTATCTTCATCTGCTCCAGGGCCTGCCGAGCTCACGCAAAGGGAAGGGCCCTTTGGGGGTGGTCTGACAACGAAAAACATGGACAACCCACACTTCTGGTTGTCCCTATTTTTGGGAGCTTGAACTCTAGTCTAACGAAAGGAGAAAAAAAGAAAACCACCATTTTGGAAGTTGCCCCTATTTTGTGGCATGATGACAGTGCCCATTTCTTCCCAACGCTGATCCAGCAGCAAGCACACCGCCTGCTGGTGCACTGTGAATTCGAACAAGCCCTATCCTTACACTACATTCTCGGCTCCAAATGGCCTGCCCATTGCCAACTGTGAGCAAGGACTTCAGGCAGGCTTTCATGTCGTCCATGGAGGCTGCCTTAGTCCCGCACGGGCTCATGGGTACAGCCAATGCCTTGCATACCTTGCCTGAATCCAGTCGGAAAAGGTGGAGGGCTTGCTTGATCCCTGCTCTTCGGCGATGTCCTCTCAAGAACCGATATGGCGGTGTCCTGTTGATGTCCCGTTCAATCAACCTGAAAAGAAGCACCGAGCCTCAAAAAACGACACTCCAGAACTCAGTTTGGCGGCCGCCCGGCTCCTGCACTTCCGCCTTGCTGAGATCAGCATCCTGCGGGTCAGTGATGTGCAAAAAGGGGGCCCTAAGAATTGGGATTTTTTGCATTGATTTCCGTTTGCAACCCCAAGAACGGGTACCAACTCTGCAAAGCACACGCAGACGCACGCGCGCACGCTTACTTGTCTGAAAGTCCAGCATGTCTGACAGCCGCTGCTTTGTAGTGGGCGCCATGGCTGCGGCAAGCCAAGAAGGCAGATCCGCTACCGCTCAATCGCCGTCCTACCGGGCTTTGTCGCACTGCGCTTGCTGAGGTCATGCGGTTGAGGCTGCAACTGAGTGGAGGCTGGGAGCTCTCGGAAACTAAACGATGGGTCGTGAATTGTACCTGCTAAGACTTGATGTGTCATGACTTGAGAATCTAGCAAAGGTCGTGGCCTTGCCGGTCACCAAGGGAAAAGCCACAGTCAACATGTGCAGAACATGGGAAAACTTCGTGAGTCCCCTCATTTATGTGGGAATTTTGAGGCAGAGGTGCTTCGCCTTTTCCTCACACGTGTCTCTCGCACGCCTGGCGTGCACAGGCCATGATTTGGGCCGCAGACACTCTGGGAATCGACCTAAGGTATGCTCCGTTCAAACTTGAAGGATATCTCAGGTGACTTAACCACATTCGATCATTCATAAGAGATGAAGCACCTGAGCCGGAGCTCGAAACGGGAGCAGAGCCAGCTGGCAGGCCAGCAGGAATTGAAAATCTGCACGGGTGGATCGGTCACCGGCGCAGAGCTGCCAGCCGGTGTCTTTTGGGTGTTTTTGTTTGGGCGGGAACCACCTTTTAGTTGGTTTCGAAGGAATCCTTGTGAGACTTTGAGTCTCGCGGTGACACTAATGCTCCTCTCCTTTTTCCTGGGACATGAACATCTCTACGGAACATAGAAGTGACTGCTCACAATGGTTGGGAGCACATGTCAACAAGTAACGTATTCTCCGTTCATGTATGGCTTCGACACCAAGCAGCGCTAATTCTGTGGCGATGCGGCATCACTGTCAACCTGGCGCTCTGATCACAACACGGACATATTCACAAACTCAAGAAGCTGCGCCTCATGTCTCGGGCCACTGAAACACGGCCAGCAGCGGCATGTGAAACGTGGGGACTTCTGAGGCCGCCTCCTGCAACAGAACACGAGTTCGCATGCTTGCCTGCTCGCCAGTTGGGTGTGTCCCAAAACGGGCGGCCAAAATGGTTGGCTTCCGGTTGGTCTCCCTTTCGGTGACCCAAAAAGGGTCCACCCCGAGAAAAGTCAAGGCACCCGGTTCGGCAGTCCTCTGGGCTGAGCGATGCCAGGTAGTTGCGGCTGTGGTTGGATAAAACAGCCACTGGTGCCTGAGCTGAACTTTACACGTCACGCGATGGTTTATAAAAACAGGGCCCCCCTTTCTGTGGCCTGGGTTTTGAAAGGAATCCAAAAGAAAACCAACCGCTGTAGGGTCCCCATTGTGAGAAACACCCATGTGAGCTCGTCTCAGAACAGGGGAACCTTGCAAAATGGGCTTCCCGTTGCTTTCCCCGAAAAAGCCAAAAAACTCGAAAAGGGTGCCCGTAAAAGAAGATGCCTCCCTGTGTCTGCTTTAGTCTAATCAAGAAACAAAACATGTGCAGGTCCGTGCTGGGTTTCTGTCTACGTTGATTGACCGACATGCATGGAGTTGAGGAGCTGGCGACACCCCTGCAGAGAATGCAGTCAGGGCTGTGAAGCCTGCAGATGGTTGCTTCAACAAGAACAACGCAGGCCAACGCGTTGACTGGTAAGAAGCGGGCTTGAGCATGCCGCTCGCACCTACAAGTCACACGGCTGTAACAAATCTCGTGACGATTCCATCCATTTAACCACAACATGCTCTGGCCTATCTGCACTGCACGCTGGGTTGAGGATGCAGAATCCCAAGAAGCCACTGGTGAAGAAGCTTCCTAGGCCAGGAGGCTGGGGAAGCTGCTCTCTCCACGAGTGATTGTGGCCGTGCCTGCTTCACCACTTCACGATAGGCTGATCGCAAGTCTGCAAGTTCCTGCCAGAAATGGCAGTGACATCGCCAATGTGGCCGCCCTCTCGCCAATGTGCATTGTTTGCGTGTGCCGAGCACCCGTAAGGAAGAGGCCTCAACGATGTGAAGGCATTCTGCTCCTGAGACTGTGGCACGAGGGACCAGACTCGTTGGATCCTGCCCTCGTCCACTAACAGCCACATTTCGGAATCCCATCTAAGTGGAGTGGGTGGGACAAGGTCCAACATGTGCTGATTCCCAGCTGCATCGCGCCTCCAAGTGCTGAACTGTCCACTGCCAGCACCAGAGCCCCGTCCTCAGGTTGAAACGAAGGAATAAATCGACATCGTCGGAAAGGACCGCACCTCTGGGGCAAGCTTCCGCAAATCCTTTTGTGGAGGCACCTCACAAGTCACCTCTCTTGCAGCGGGCACTTTTCCTCGCAACGCGCCTGAGCCTTGACACAGGCGACGCGAATCAGAGACTTGGCCTCACAATTTGCAATTGCGCCAGCTCTGGGAGATGACATAGTCACTGGTGGGTGAGATCGGTGAGTAGGGCGAGCGGGTGCACGCTCTTGCAGAGCGACGCTCAGAATCTGGAAATGGTTCCCGCACAGAACACGGAAAATCGTGAGGCCCTTGGCTTCTGTGGGAAGTTTAGAGCTCCCCGAATGCACTTCAAAACGGACCATTGTTTGTGTGACCGCCCAAAATAGATGACTTCCTCTCAAACCTACTTTGACCGAACCTCACCTCACCTGTCAATGCCTGGCCCTGCCTCCTTGTGCTGCAGGTCAACAGCTGCAACTCCGATCTCCGGCTGCTGCACAAACCTGGGGCTGCCCTGTTTTGGACCCGCCACCCAAATCCATGCCAAGAATCAAGATGGCTTCTGCTTCCGGTTGTTTTACTTAGGTTCTAATCGTGATTCACCTGAAAAAAGGGGTCGCAGCTGTCCCATCTCGCGTGGAGCTGCAAACACGCATTCACGACCCCATACCCACTTGTTGGCTCGGGAAAAATACAAACACTCCGCTGCAGACTGAAACTCATTTGTGCAAGAACCTCCTAATGGGGACCCCTTGTTGAGTTCCATGTTATTTTGCAGGGCACCAAATGCGGCTTTGCTCGCTAGAGATCACGGGTAGCTTTGACCCACGGGAACTCCCGTCGCAAAACTGTCACGCAGATTCATCTGCTGAGGAGATCTCCGTAACTGCAGGGAGTGCCTCACGTCCGCTTGCCGAACCCTTTGTCGGGTGACCCTAAACGGGTTTTAAGAAATGGGTTCCTTTCACAACCCATTTCTAGAACCCGTGTAGGTCCCCTAGCCTTTGGCTTGGCATCCAAGGAAGACCATACTAGGTTGGGTGGGAGTTGTTGCACCTCTCAAAGGAATCAAAGGAACCAAAAAAGAGCAGCAGCTTGAGTCTGAGCATTGAGCATTGCAACCGAACTCAAGAGCCATGGTGCGCCACTCGGCTCATCGACCGCGAGCGTCTTGACCATGAAGTGAGCATCAAGGGGTGCCTCCATGCAGCTTTGTGAATAAGAGCTTCACTACCACAAGTCAGTGTAACATATTTGTGGGGTGTCTTAGATCTCTGCGTCTTGCGCTAGGCAGTCTAGGACACCCCCCTCAATCACCCATTTCTCAGCACTCTTGTAGCCCGCGCTCCTCCAAAGTAGCAGCCTCAGTTGGGTGTGGTTCCCTTGTTTAAGTCTCTGTACCAAGAGTTGTTGGGTTTGGAGGGACGACCAAAACAGCGCAGTGTGTCGTGTGTTTTGTTTGGAGACGAACCAACTTGGAAGGAGCTGTGCTAGAGCTCTGTGGCACCTCGGTGCTGAGGCCGGCACGCTGCGGTGATAATAGTTGGACTTGGTGATTGAGGTCCTGGCCATGTGACCGTGGCTTATGAAAACTTAGTTTTTGCCCCGGGTCGAGATCTAATTTGGGATTTTGTTTGTTCCCCACCCGACAGAAAGGGGTTGTTAATTTTTTTATCCCAGCTCGCCAGTGGATCCCGCCGAGTATCCCACCAGAGCTGCTCGCCAGTGGATCCCGCCGAGTGTCTTGCCAGAGCGGCTCGCCAGTGGACCCGCTGAGTATCCCGCCAGAGCTGCTCGCCAGTGGATCCCGCCGAGTAGCGGCTAGTGGACCCCGCCGAGTCCCGCCTGGGCGGCTCCCCGCCAAGTGTCTTGCTGAGTAGAGTAGCTCGGAGTAGCTTGCCAGTGGATCCCGCCAAGTGTCCCGCCCGCCAGTGGATCCCGCCAAGTAGCTCGCCAGTGGACCCCACCGAGTATGCCCGCCAGTGCATCCCGCCGAGTGTCGCTCAGGTCAGGCTTCAGGCAGGCAACTTGTATGGTGCAAGGCAACTGGAAGGAGATATTGGGCAAACTTGGACTTGGGCTAGGTGTGGATTTTTTTGAGCTCGGGGTTTGTTTTGCAACATCTTGCCTCATCTGGCTAAGTTTCCGGCATTATGGAGCGACGTCTGCCTGGTGCTACCGTATGCCAAGACCTTTGGCAGCCCCGTTGAATTAGGGGCAAAGCATTGAATTAGGGGCAAAAAAAAGTAGCGCAAGTGATGATTCATTAGGGGCAAAAAAGTCTAAAAGTAGCCGGGCGGTTGGGGGGGTTGGTGTGACAGGGGGACGGCAGCCCCCATGATGTTCGAAGATTGGCGAGCTGGCGGGATACTCGGCAGGATCCACTGGCGAGCCGCTCTAGCAAGATACTTGGCAGGATGAACTGGCGAGCCGCTCTGGGATACTCGGCAGGATCCACTGGCGAGCCGCTCTGGCGGGGTACTCGGCGGGATCCATTGGCGAGCCCCTCGAAAGTCCCTGGCGAGCCACGCTCGGCGGGATCCACTGGTGAGCAGCTCTGGCTCTGCGGGATATTGAGCGGGATCCGCTGGGGAGCTGTTGGCGGGCTCCACTGGCGAGCTGCTCTGGCGGGACACTGGGTGGGGGCGTGGTGTAGAAGCATCGCAAATGCGGATCCCAACATAATGTCGGGTAGGGAATAAAAATCCTTCGCTCCGAGCAATCGCCACCCTCCACACTCACGAGCTCACGACCGTGAACACGGTTGTGTGAACTCAAGCATGGTTTTCGAGTGGCTTGGGCCTATGACTGCTCAACAAGCTTTGCATTGAGAGCCTTATCCACCTGTCTGTGTGTCAAACTCCACTTGTCTGCGAGCCGATCTCGAGAACTCAAACATCGGTTCCGGTAACAACAGCCAAGCCCCTTCCAAAAAGAAACCCGACGGGGGATTAAACGAAGTTGCTTATTCACAACCCAAAGCAACACAAAAGCATCACCCTTTCCGAGCCTCAGGGCACACTCAATAACACGAAGGCGCCAACATGAAATGTAAACCCAACTGTCCGCTGGGCGGGACATGAAGCAAAACCAGACTGGCGAGCTGCTCTGGCGGGATACTGGCGGGATCCACTGGCGAATACTGGCGGCTCGATACTGCCCGGATACTCGACAAGATCCACCGGCAAGGGATACTCAGCGGGATACCTGGCGCCATCTATTGGTAAGTTACTCTGGGATACTCGGCGGGATCCACTGGCGAGCCGCTCATACGCACGCTCCACGATGATCGAAAAAGTGATGATTCAATTAGGGTGCATTTTAATTGAAGGGGGGGGGGAAGGCCAAAAACCAACTGGGAAAGCAGAGGATGCGAAAAGCCAAAGCCAGAAAGCCACAAAAACCACATAAACCCACGTAAAAGCCACAAAGGCCAAAAGGCCGAAAAGTCACCCGCCCTGACAAACCAAACATCCTTAAACTTACTTCGCTTCGAGCGATCCCCACCCTCCACACTCACGAGCTTACGACCGTGAACACGGTTGTGTGACTTCAGGCATGGTTTTCGAGTGGCTTGGGGCCTATGACTGCTCAACAAGCTTTGCATTGAGAGCCTTATCCACCTGTCTGTGTGTCAAACTCCACTTGTCGGCGAGCCGATCTCGAGAACTCAAACATCGGTTCCGTTAACAAAAGCCAAGCCCCTTCCAAACAGAAACCCGACGGGGGATTAAACGAAGTTGCTTATTCACAGCCCAAAGCAACACAAAAGCATCACCCCTTCCGAGTCTCAGGGTACACTCAAAACACGAAGGCACCAAGCAAAACCAGACTGGCGAGCTGCTCTGATAGGACACTGGCGGGATCCACTGGCGAATACTGGCACGGCTCGATACTGCCCGGCTACTCGGCAAGATCCACCGGCAAGGGATACTCAGCGGGATACTTGGCGAGATCTATCGGTAAGTTACCCTGGGATACTCAGTGGTATACTTGGCGGGATACACTGCCGGGCTTGGCGGGATCCAGCTACTCTGGCGGGATACTCGGCGGGATCCACTGGCGCGCTACTCTGGGATACTCGGCGGGATACTCGGCAGGATCCACTGGCAGGCTGCTCTGGTGGGATACTCGGCGGGATCCACTGACGAGCTACTGCCCGGCTACTCGGCGGGATCCAGTGGCTCGGCGGGCCGCTCTGGCGGGATACTCACTGGCGAGCAGCTCTGGCGGGACACTGGCCAGCTGCTCTGGTGGGATACTCGGCGGGATCCACGAGCTACTCTGGCGGGATACTCGGCGGGATCCACTGGCGAGCTACTCTGCGATACTCAGCGGGATACTCGGCGGGGCGGGCTGCTCTGGTGGGATACTCGGCGGGATCCACTGGCAAGCCACGGATTCCAACAATAAAATCTACCAACCCCTTCCTGTCGGGTGGGGAACAAAACGAGAAAACAAATCCTTTAAACAAATGGGCCTCCTTTTGCCCCCCCCCCACAGGGTTTTTGCGAAAGGTTTCCCTAACAAGCCATGGTATCAAAGACCAATGGATATTTTGACCGCATCTGCGGTCAACCGGATCAAAATCAGGGGCTTCTTTGTGCTGATGGTGTCGTTTTGTGCCGCCTGGGATCGGCAAAAGGAGGCCCTTTGACCCCCGCCCAGGCTGCGAGTGACAGTCCGGTCCTGAAGCCCATCGAGTCGTACAAGGCGATAGCTGCCTGGTTCCTTCCGACTTCCCATTGGAGAAGCAGAGCGGGGTCTCTATTTGCCCACAAAAACCAGACTCGTGCTGAACCACACTTTAAAACACAAAAACCAGCTATCAGCCTCACGGCTCAGGATAGAAGGCCCATGTACCGCCCAAATGATATCCGGCTTCCCCCGGCTTCCCGCGGCTTCCGGATTCTCCCCGTCCTGACGTGGACGTGCAGGGAAAACTCCAGGATGCCCTTGGCCTGCGCCCTCTGCACCAGAGCCTTCAGCAGCTTGGAGCCGATGCCGCGGCGCCTCGGTGGTCGCTTGGCCCACTGGCAGAAAAAATGGGAACCACCACAAACAGCGGCGGTTCATGTGAAAACAACCCCAAAAGTTGAGCAAACATGAGTTTGTTTCCTGAGAAGTTGAGGAGCTTTGCAAATTCCAGGGGTTCTGTCTTTGTTGGCCGGCCCATTGACCTCCAGGATATTAAAGTATTTGACCAAGCCCTCGGAAACACATGAGGTTGGCTCGGGTGATGGTTGACCCCATTTCTGGCACGCGTTCCACTGATAACTAGGCTGAAACCAGTGGAAACCGTGACATCCGAGATCCGCGCGGCACCTCTGCGACCAGGCTCTGCACACGAAGCCCTCCCTCCATCTCCTCGCTCCGTTTGGGGGGTGGAGGAGGTGGACAAAGAGGTTCCCCAAAAGGAAACTCGTCTTCCCACCCCTTCCAATCATCAGCTTCCATTGGAAGGTGGATCATTGGATGGCTCCCTACCGGTCCGTGATCCTTGCAACACCTGCCAGCCGGCAACGCCATGTGTGTTGATGCGTCGCGCCTTGCATATGAGGGCTCCAACAAGTATGCCTTGCAAGCCAGGGAAATCGACGGTAGGCAAACAGACGGCCAATCCTCTCTCATGCCTGGGATGCAGGCCCTGGTGCGAAGCCGTCATACACCAGGGGCTGCTTAGCGCATCTTGGAAGTAATCGTCACTGTAATTCACCGGAAGCCGCGCCTTGCTCAGTGCACATGCGGCGCATGGCATGCGACGCATGCGACGCATGCGACGCATGCGACGCATGCATGCGACGCCTTCGACGTCGTGAGTGTCAGGCCAGGCCTTGTGCAAGCGCTTCACGCACGGCAGCAGCTGCTCTTTGAGCGGGGCCAATGAGCCTCATGTCGACAGTCGAAAATCAGCTGTCCACGCAACTGTCAACCCTCTTGTTTCTGTTTAGCAGGCTCTCACAAATGATTGCCAAACCAGTATTTCATCAAAAAGCCACTTACACAGGACGGCTGCGCTCAGCAAACAGCCAACTGGGCTTGTCTCGATTTAGAAGAACCCCCAAAACATGTGGCTTTCCTTTGGTTTTCCTTGAGACCATCCCAAAAATGGACCCTCAAAGAAAGACAGACCCAATCCGGCTCAAACGCTTCCGCGGCACATGGAAGTGCTTCCCCTGGGTTGAGGGCGTCGGTCAGAAGCTGAAGCTTCGCCTCGGGCCAAGGCCGTGCTTTTTCGACTCTCAACCTGGTGCTTTGGCTGGACCAGGCAAACCGGGGTGGCTTTAAGTTTGGGGTCGGAGACAAATTACAAAGTATCCCCCCCCCCCAGCTATCATGGATATGCAGTAGGACCTGTGTGCAAGCACCAAACTGCTCGCATGGGCCACAAACACTTTGCAGCTCATGCCATGACTTGTCGCATTCTCAGTGCGCCACACAAAATAAGGCAGAGCCCACAACAAAGGTCAACAAAGGTTGGTGTTCGCTTTGTTTGTCCAAACAAAGGGCTTCGAAACTGGAAAAGGGTTAGTGTCCTGCTGTTTTCCTTGTAAAGCAACAAAAGCAGAAAAGGTCGCGCCCACATGCCTCGCCTGGTTCGCCTGGTGCTTCCTCTGCTTCTGCCGAGCATTGCCCATGGAAATGGCTCTCCGCCAATCTGGGAAGTGAAGTATCTGCCGCAAAACCCGGGCACTGGGCGAGTTTCCCGGATTCCCCCTCTAGACATCACCCAAAAGGAAGCTCATGTTCAAGAACTGCTCCAAAGAGGTGATGTTTCAGGAAAGGAAATTGGTCATCCCTCCAGTCTCGACTGCAATTGCGTCTTCCAGGTCCACGTGGCAAGCATTCGGAGAGGATCTGAGCCCAGGCTGCAGAGCGCCAAAATATCATGAGCTCTTCGACGGTACTGGATCCATTCAAGCACCCTCAAAATGCAGAAATCACCCAATTTGGTGCCACTTGGTGTCTGGCTCAAATCGCTTCTCATCATAGAAAATGACGCCCACCTTTCACATGTTGGCAAAACGTCACTCGAAAGTCCACTTGGGCATGAAATCGAGACGAATGTGCATGTCGCTCGAAAAACTCGCTTGGGCGTGAAAAGTTGCTCATGCAAAAAAAATAAGGCATCCCTGCCTCACCCTTCTCCCCGGCAAAGGTGTAGTTGTAGCCCTCCTCCAGAAGGGAAAAGGTCACGCCCACACCCACCTCGGAATTGTTGGGCGCGCAGGGACAAGTTTTGCACGCCTCCCGGAGGAAACCTTCACTTTCTGGGCCAAACATGTTTGTCCAAGCACAGGGTTCCCTATTACTTCCCCTCAAACCATCACACCCCACCAAAGGATTTCTCACCTTACATGGACCCCCAAGATGGTCAAAAGGGGAAACATAGGGCGCAGTCTGAGCTGCCCACCGGCCCGCGGAGCGGGTCCAGGCCCTGGCAGGTCCAATGCGTCGCACGCTCTGAGCCTCGACTAGATGGGGATAGACAAACGAAAGATCCGTTGCAACTGGATTGAGATGAGGGCTTGGGGGTTGATTGCATGTTTCAGCAACTGAATTAAGACGAGGATTGCTTGCAACGCATGTTTCCAATACCTTCAAAAATAATTGTCAAGCTCTGAAGGCCTCAAGCACCATAGGACAGAAAGCCTCGTTCCCTTGACCGTGCGGAGGCAACATATTTGTGTGGCTGAAGAGCGCACAGCTTGTGTTGCGCGAAAAGATGTATGTAGCTCAAAAATAGCCAACAAAAAAACAAAGAAAGCCTGTAGTTGGTTTGCCAGGCCTTTGTTTCTGCGCTCCGCAGATTTGCTGCCATTTGAGCTTGACTGACATACTTTCGAAGGAAAGGAGGGGCAAACGGTCACAAGCGAAAAAGGCCGCAGCTTCAGGAGTAAAAGTGCGTGCCGAACACGGCTTCTTCTTCTTCTTCTTCTTCTTCTTCTTCTTCTTCTTCTTCTTCTTCTTCTTCCTCTTCTTCCTCTTCTTCTTCTTCTTCTTCTTCTTCTTCTTCTCCTTCTCTTTCTCCTTCTCCTCCTTCTCCTCCTTCTTCTCCTTCTTCTCCTTCTTCTCCTTCTTCTTCTCCTTCTTCTTCTCCTTCTTCTTCTCCTTCTTCTTCTCCTTCTTCTTCTCCTTCTTCTTCTCCTTCTTCTTCTCCTTCTTCTTCTCCTTCTTCTCCTGTCCAGTGTCTACAGTATTCCCCAAGCAGGAATGGCTCTCTGGGCCTCCCCAATTCCGCCTTGCCTGCAAACAAATGATGTCAGCGTGATGCAGCCTGGGCCGTCACAGTTGTACCAGTTGCACACATTGCCGGTCTTTGCAGTGCACCACTGTCGCCCTTTTGTCACGCGTTCTTTGGCGTGTTGTGGGTCGGTGTGTCCTGCGCCGACAGAACAATATTCAATATTTGCTCAAACATCTGCCGGCGGACCTCACAGCAAATTCTCAAATGGCGTGGCATGTGCCCCTGCACGCACTCCTCGAGGAAAGCCAACCGGCCATGTCCAACTCTCTCCAGCACAGCCAGCCGCCGCCTCAATTTGAGGCCGGTCTGCAATGAATCAAGCAACTTTCTGGTGCACCAACATGGAGGCCGTGAACGAAAAACGGATCGCTTGCAATACGCCAGCGCGACCAAGCAACTTCTTGCCGTCAACCAAAGGCTCCAGGACTGCCTTGTTCCCAGCGAACAAAGGCAGCACTTTGACAGGTCGCAACCCGTTACAGGCGGATAGCATGAATATGGCAGCTTCTGCAGCCAGCATCCATAACTGCTGTCTGGGGCACTTGGATTTTCCATGGATCTTTGCCTGACATGGCCAGCATGCACACAGGCAGCACAACGCTCATCCAAGACAGTGAACTCAACGATACGAACGCACAAGCTTCAGGGTGGACATCATAAACATGAGGATTGCTGTGTCCGCCAATGATTTTGAAAAAGTGTTCCAACAGCTGGATGTTTCTGCAAATGAGGGACCCTCCGTGTGATTGGTGTCCTTTTTGGCTTAGACCCAACTAAGACTCATGGCCATTCAGCTGTGGAGCGCAGTCTTTCAGCTGGAGCTGGTCGGTCGATGACCCAAAGTCCGGCCACGACTGCCTGCTGGCATGGTTTTGGAACATAACAGAACATTGACTCCCGTGAAAAAAGCAATGTGTATATCATACATGTATACATACATATTGTGTGTGGTTTCTGTCTTTTGGACAACTCCAAACAATGTACCAATTCCTTTCGCTTCCCTTTTTCAACGACCTGAAGGTACCAACTCTGATCCTATTGACATAATTCCGAGTTCCAGCACTCGAGGACTGCGTGCCTCAGAGGTCTCCCAGCGAAACTCCGGATCCTTCTTGATCAGCCGCCCACACCAGCGGATTTTCGCCGGGAGGAAGCCAAAGAGCATAAAAGTGTCCTGCACGTCAAGCTGAAGCAATCAGCCGGCTCTGTTTTTTCGGCTTTGCGGAGACATCAAGCCTCAAATGTGCACTTGGACAGCGGGCTCTGATGTCGACAAGCTCCTCCAACTCTGCTTGTCCTCCCTGCTCAACCTGCAGGGTGCTTGAGAGGCCATGAATCCTGAGGCCTGTACAGGGTCCCTTCCTTGAGGGATGTGCGGCCCACCGCTCGAAACAGCAACCATTGCAGACCTGAGCTAGCTCATTTACTCCCCTCTAGATTGACATGGAACCCAAAAAGGGGGGTTTTGAGAAGGAGATTCCTCCAAAAACAGAGTCTTTGTTGGTTTCGTGAATCTGCAGCAGTGTATCTCCCTCCATCTTGACCCAAAGCGAAGCTGGCACTGCAAAAAGCTCTGCCAAGGTGCCCAGCTGGGCCGACATCATGGCGCCCAGCTCCTGCAACCAAATCTGCCCAACCTCACGCCGAGCCCTGAAAAAACAACACACCCAGTTGTCAATCAGGGGAGTGCGCTTGGAAAGGAATCCCCACCAAAAAGGGACCCCCTCTGATTCATAACATCAGGGGTCGGCAGCAGCAGAAAAGTGCTGTGGTCGGATAGACAGTCTGGCAAGTTGGGGCAGGATTTTTTCCTCTGGAGGAAGAATGTCTGGCTCCAGTCGATTTCAAGGCAAAGCCCCCAAGCTTCCAATCTCGGATCTGGCGACATGGTTTCAGGAAAATCCATCAACAACCAAGAAGTTTGCAGGTTTCACATATCTAGGCCATCCTCCTCATTGGTGTAGGAGCGAAATTCAAAGGTCCAGGATGCACCCTCCAAAGAGGATGCATCTGGCATTCCATCGGCCTCCCGAGCGGATCTGTCAGTCTTACCGGCTTCACGGCGCTCCGCTTGGGTTCCCAGTAGCTTTCATTCCAAACTTGGTGAATGCAGTTCTGGGTGGTTTCCTATCGATTTGTATGGTTTCCTGATGCTCTGAGTGTCCTTGTTTGGCTTGTTGCCTGCGTTTTTCTGTCCCAGATACTAATGGTGCTTGAGCATTTGTTTTGGTAAAGGACATACTTTGCCGCTTGCTAAACGCAGATAACTCCAGACCAAAGTCAAAACAAAAATCACAATGCTTACATCCTTGGAATGTCCCTCTTTTCAAGGGCATACAAACTGAGTGATTTCACGTAGCTTCCCAAAATAAGTAATGTCGCGTAGCTTCCCTTGAAACAACCCCAGCAAGGGTAACGAGGCTCCAAAAAGATACATCTTTGTATGGGTGTGTATGTGTGTGTGCGGGTGGGGTGTCTTTGAGGGTACCGTAAGCGAGTTGTTTTGCAGGGAAACCCAAAGGAAAACTGCCCCGTCTCAAGTCCCTCATTTTGAGACAAACCTATATATGAGGTTCGGTTGAAACTTGGACACGGTTAAACAATTGGGTACTGTCCTTGGATTTGGCTAAGCTCACCCATGTCCTGCGCCAGAAATTAACCGTAGACCGGATTTGTGTTACCGAACCTCAGTTGGGTTTGCCTCAAAGTCAGGGAGAAAAATGGCCCGCTCTTTGTGGCAGTACTTGATTGAAAAGGCACCGCCAAAAGAACAGGAAAGGTCATCCCTGCAGGTTTGGGTCGGTTTGCTCTCCCTTTAAAATTCCAACCAAAAGGGGGCGTGGTTTGGTTTCCTAGACTCTATTTTCAAGAGGTCGCCCTTTAAAACTAGCTCCGTTGGCTTCCTTTGGTTTGCATTGGCTTCCCATACGACACCTCAGACCCCAGGAACGCCTCACCCAGCAAACGCTCCCACGCCAGGCGGGAGCCAGCGTCAGCCACCACGCCCCCGCTCTCCGGCCAACGCCTGCGCGCCGCCGTTTGCTCGTTTCCAATGACTGTAACGCAGGTGACTTCTGGATGTATCCATCAACCAACCCTCATCAACCAGTGCATCCTTTCTCTCCCCAAGGGGTGACTTTAAACACGACCTTTCGGTTGCCCATATGTGAGTTTGGGTGATGTGCAAAGCGGAAAAATGGGGAGACTCCTTGTCAATTACTTTCGACCATCGTTAGATATGTATGTGTATATATATATATGTATATATATATATATGTATATATATATATATGTTTACTTTAAGCATTCCTGTGTTGGAAGCATCATGCAAATTCAAAGCACATCCATCATGCACGGCAGGAACGGGCAAAAACTGTGTTTCTCTCTCGACTGAAGTCTTCATCTATGAATTCGGACTTGTGTGCCCATAGTCTCGCATGTCCATTCAAACGTCAAACGGCTGTTGCGGTCATTAAGCTATCGCGGCCAAGCTTTGTGGCCGCAGGCTGAAGGCAGTTTTGGCATACCTGTCGACCTATACGTGGAGGTCGTCAACAAGATTCTGAATATGAACGCACGAGCTCCGTGCATTAGACATGGCGGCCGTCTTGACGAAAGTCGTGCCACCTAAGCTTCGCAGCGGCGTTGTTGGCCGATGAGCGTCTTTTTGTTGGGGGCTTGTTGTGATAAACTACTGTAAAACCAAAGAGAAACCACCCATTTTGGATATTCTCCAATTTGGAAACAAAACCATGTCCAAACCATAAACCCCTCCAAATGGCTCATTGCATGGTGTCCAGTTTTGACATGTAGCCACATGAGTGGGCAGCAAAACGCCAGTGTTCAACTACCTGTGCAGCTGCGGAGCCATCGGCGTTGAACCATCCGCTGGAAGATCTCTCCAGACATTCCGGGCATATGCGAGGAACTGACAGCCCGTCAATGGTGATCAGGCCCGCGGCAGCGGAATGCACCTGACATGTTGAGAACTTTGAAGTCTCAGTTCCTCCCATCGCTCTCTTCTGCAAAGATCGTTGAGTCTTTTTGTAGATTCCTCTGATAAACTCAAGCTGCATGTTTCTGTGGCCCTCATTGTTCTTCCTATTCCGACTTTCGTTTTTGGTCTTGTCCGACATCTTGGCAAGATGCTCACTGGCGCTCCTAATCCCTGATGCCTACCAGGCAGTTTCAGGGTGATGCTTGAAATATCCAACCCCTAACCTAGACTCTTGCTTCGTTTTTCCATGCAGAATCTGCGTTCGTCCAGCATGTTCTTCCTTGCCCAGGGTTCGTCTTCACTGGGTGTGAATCTTCCAAAGCCCAACGGCGGCGCTTGATTTTGCGTGCTTTACTTTTGCATGCTCGATTTTGCAACAATGCAGACTGGATTTACTCGCCAGGCAAGCAAAGCCGGCACAACCGTGCTTTGCTGAATCACTGTTGCATCCAGTTTAAGATGATTCCCACTACGGAGCCTGCCACAAGCATCCCAAGCGATCTCATGGCAACAGAATCGGGGGATATTCCACAAACCCTGCCTGAAGCAGGTAGGACCTCTTGGAGGGCTTGCCAGTGTATGCACCCTGGCTTGGTCCAACGCAAATCTCAACCGCGGAGCTCGCCTCAGATGCGAGACCGCGAGGATGTTCAGCTCTCACGCGATGTGCAAAGCCGAGGCGCAACATACAACTTGAAGACTTGTGTGGATACTGCTCCCAAGCCTGGCGAAACTCAGCTGGGCAGCGAAAAGCCTGCCACCAAATTCAAGAATGAGCAAGGCGATGTGTATATTATATATATATATATATATATATTCCAGGCCGTGGACCCCCCCCCCCTAAAAAATAGAAGAAGTAGGGGGCCTGGGGGGAAGTCTGTTGATGGTTGCCTGTTCTGGTTTTTATGTTCATCTCAAATCTATGTTCCCCCTTATTCGTTTTGAAAAGAGGGTTTTTAGGGAGCTTATTTATCGTTTTCGTTAAGGTAATCATTTGGGTAAATTGTCGCCTTGTTCATTGTTGGGCTGGGGGCAAACATTTTTTTCATTTGAAAGAGTTGACCCTTTTAGTAGTTATCAAGTTCTGAGGTGTTGGCGATGTATTTGTTTTGTTAGTATTTTTCTCACTAATTTTCATTTATAGGTTAAAAGTTCGCTATAATTATAACATATAAGATTTTACATGTTATAATTATGGTTTAGTTATGAATTACACAGGTTCATCAACCATTAGTTTAATCCTTATGTTTTGTACTCCTTCAAAATTCATTCTACTTCTTTCACTATCAATACATCTGTATATTGTTTGATGTGCCTCTATCATTACTTCGGATATATTATCTATGTTTATATTATCTACAAAATCATCACTATGAAAATGAAAACTAAAAGTGTTAAAATGGTCGTCTTCATAATAATTGAAATGATGAAACCTTACAAACATATTTACCTCAACTATTATCACTGCTTCATGTCCGTTAACGGTTTCAATACCATCTAACAAACAATCTAAGTTTTCATTTTCATTAAAAACTATATCTTCAATGCTTTTAATGCTTAAAGGTATATTTCTTGAAATGTAATACTCAATTACGTGTCTCTTTATATCATCGCCATCTTCAACAGTATAGCGCTTTGTCTTTCTTTTTGTTTCTGTTCTGTTTATTTTATATTGTTGTTGTATTCTCTTTAATGTCTTAATATGATTATGTTTTATTTTCAAATACTCAGGTTCCCCTAATTTATATGAAATGATACCTTTTAATACATCAACAGGTAAGCTAGCACAATTCTCAACCATAAAATTATTATCTGACATTTTACCCCCACTCATTTTTCTCTTAATATATAAGGTTTTTTCTCTTTAAGTAGTTTTGGCTAGGGGTTGCTGGTCGGCTGGTCTGGGTTTCAGGTTTAATTTAAATGTCTGTGTGAGCCAGACCTTGCTGTGCGAGCCAGACCTTACTGTGTGAGCCAAACCTTGCTGTGTGAGCCTGACTGTGTTGTGTGAGCCTGACTGTGTTGTGTGAGCCAGCCCTTGTTACTTGAGCCATTCTCCCCTTAATTGGGGAGTTCGCCCCCCTTAATTGGGGAGTTCGCCCCCCTTAATTGGGGAGTTCGCCCCCCTTAATTGGGGAGTTCGCCCCCCTTAATTGGGGAGTTCGCCCCCCTTTATTGGGGAGTTCGCCCCCCTTAATTGGGGAGTTCGCCCCCCTTAATTGGGGAGTTTACCCACCGTTTTCAAATCCAATGATATAACATTATAACCGAGCGACTTTGCTACTTTACCAACTGAAGAAGTACCACTAAATAGTTCTAATAAGTGCATATATTATTAGAACTATTTAGATATTAATATTTTCACATACATATCGTTGATGTTTTTCAGTTCTCTCGTGTCTTCTTATATCACATTTCCTGAAAACACCACCACATTCACATTCAATAGGTTCTTTTCGTTTTTCCAATATTGTTTCTTTGTTTTGGTGGTAGTGCTCCCTACTTTTATTACATATATGTTCTTTGTTGTTTTCTGCGTATTCCTTCCTCATATTTTGATAGTGTTCCTTATTGTCTTCCTTCCACTCATTAATTGTTCTACCTGCCACACATCTATTCACACAATCATTATTTTGAATGTAATAACCTTCTATTTTCATTAACTGTTCTCTGTTTTCACATGGGTAGTCTTCTAATAATTCAATCTTACAGTTGTCCATTCCATATTCATCAAACAACAAACGACAGTTTGTTTTATTATTCCATTGTTCTGCCTTGTTATAATTTTGTCTATGTCTTGCCATTCTTTGGCTCAAGCTTTCACAGGTGCTTCCGATGTAGCACTTATTATAACCAACATCTGTTATTTTGTAAATCTTTGCGTTTTTATATTTACTGCTATCCATTAATAACCTTAGTTATCTTTTCTTTAACGCAGTTTATAATGTCCATAAGGCAGTGAATTGAAAGCATCAATGTAAAACCTTTTATTTTCATAATTACTGAGTGTTTGCTTGACTTGAGACATTGAAAATAATTGATGGTTGCGACTACGAATAAAATTATATGTTATTTCATGCTTTTTGTTTTGAAATAATGCTTCGTGGTAGTTTTGGTAAGTCAGTTCTTTCTTCACCTTGTGTTTCACTACACCTTTTGATTTCTTTTGTTCTTCTTCTTCACCGTGTATTGTAAAAGCATACGATTTAGGCTTTAACCCTATGAATTTGTGTTATTGTTTGACCGTTGCACTCATCCTTGAAATAACCGAGTTTTTTCTTATTTGTTTTGTCATGGCAGGGGTGTTCAGGTGGATAATCGCTAAAGTCCATATATTGGTTTAATTCTTTGAAGTCCTTGTAGATGTCCTCAGTGAATGTTTGAATTACATAACTGTCAGTATCAGTATAAACCAGTTTGATGTTTTCATTGTATTTCTTCTTAAGAACATCATAGTAGAACTGATACATATGTAATTTACTGATGTCAAGGATTGTCATTCCTAAGAAAATAGGTTTGTCCAGTTTCAGCTTCGCTTTAGTTTTTTCAACTCCTACAAGGTTTTCATTAATAATAAATCTATTTTTGAATGTTGGATTATTAACACATTTTTCGTATCTAACTTCATTATCAACTAATTCAAAGTCCATATGATTTCGTTTGTCTTCCATAGTTTTTCCATACACAGAATTATTCATTAATTTGAATAAATCTTTCTCAAAATCGCTTTTGGCTTCTTTCCTTTTACCTGTGTTAAAATCAATCCACGGTTTCAACCATGCCCTCTGTTGAAATTTTATTATCCTATGGACTTTGGTCATTTTCATTCCCATTTTCAAATAATACTGTAAAGTATTGATATGAACCACATATTTTTCTTTATCCTTTAGATTTAATATTAACTTACTCGTTTTCTCGTCCTTGGGACTTTTACCGTCATAATATATTTTGAAGACTTGCTTTTGATAGTCGGAAAGCATACTAACATTTACATTCATTATTTCAGGCGCTAGTGGATAGTCAGAGTGGAAGTCGTGCAATGTTTCGGGATATTCCAAATCAACTTCCATAATATAACCGAACTCATCGTTTTCATTCCATGTTTCAACACTGGGCGCTTTCTTTGCCCACTTGATATTTTTTAGCGGTAATTTCTGGGACATTGCTAAACCATACAAGTTATTAGCATCCAAGTAGCTAATATAATTTGATGGCTTGTTCTCATCATATGCTTCTCCCATATACTTATTATTTGCCACCGCTAATTTATGACTAACCTGACACATACCACCTCTCATTCCCTTTTCAACCATCTCAAACATTTCTTGGT